TATCAGCCTAGACCTTGATCTCAGGCACATAGCTCCTGAGACAAATACAATGTTTCACTGACCCTAAACTTCTCCACATAACAGTAACTTTATACAATAAACTTTCTTGAGAGATACATACAACTCCTAACATTGCACATTGCAATTTAGTATGTAACTGAGGGATAAGCTGCATAATGTTACTAATTATGTAACCTGCCTAGTCATATAATGAACAATACATACCAAAGATGATAATGACCTGAAGTGAACTATGGATATAAATAAAGCTGGCAGCTTGGCCATTCTGTCATCTTTCCTGCCTCGGCATCTTGCCTGTATGTCTCCCTTTTTGTTCTCATTACAAAATTTTAATAATATTTGTCTTTACATTGTTTGCTTTCCATTTTTGTTTTAGTTTTATATTAAAAGATTCATATGATTTTTTATTTTAAATCTCCTACTGTAAACTATGATAAGTTTCATGAAGTAACTTGTAACTACGAGGGCAGCATTTCTGAGGTAAAAACCAATTTTAAAAGCAAAGCTTTATCATTCTTCACTTTCAGCAGCATCTCAGATCCCTAATTCAGAAGTTTCTTTCAGACACAATGAGATACATACTCTAGAAAAACATTAGAAATAAAAGAATATTCATTGAAGAATTTCTTATTTCTACAACAATCAAAAATTATAAGCAATAAAAATATAAAACACTAAGAATTTCTGGATAAAAAGTATGAATTCTCTGGCCAAATTATCCCTTCTCCAATCTATCCAGTTCTGCTAGCTGGACAAGTTTAAATAATTTGGTTGACTTCTCTGAGTTAATTTCCTCTTCTCTATGTTGAGGATCATAATATCTGTTTCTCATGGCCCTTTAAGAAGAGTTGTCTCACTTTTCTGCATTTCTGCTGCCTCATCCTTAAAATACTGATGCTAGCAATACAGCAATGTTGGCATTTTGTGAAGTTTTAAATCATTCATATATGTGTTGTGGTTAGGGCCATTAGTATGTTCATACACATCAGACATTGCAAAAGTGCTAGGCATATATTGACCACTCAATAACTATTATTCACTTCTAAAATAACTTGATATTATATATTTGCACTTGTAGGTGAAAAATTATGGACAAAACAGAGGAATACTTATTTGAATATAAAGGCTACAATTTTGAAAGGTCTTTAGTTAATATTCATGTAGTAGAAAGTGCA